GAGTTTTTAGAACAAAATATATCAACTCCTAAAGACATTGTTGGACCAAACAATTAAAAGGTGACAGAAACAATTAAGAGGCAACTGAAAAAAGATACTGTATCCGCCGGAATCTGCAAATAGTCGCCGGAAAATACAAAAATTTGTCAAAATTTGGTGTAACTTGGACTGATAGGATCGGAATCACCTCGCGAGCCAACTGTCCAAAAGGAGTTTGGCCAAAAACTGGCCGAAAAAGGGTTCACGCGTCGGCGGGTGCGACTAATACGTCGCCGACGTCGGAGGTTCTAGCCGTGAGTGACAGCGTGTGACACGTCCTATGCCGGTTTGGTTTCTTGGGATTTGGTCTCCAGAGCCTTCCGGGTATGTTGGTTGGTTTTAGCACAGCACACACCAAAGAGAAGGTGACACGATCAGATCTGGAAAAAGTCGCCGGAGCCTTCCGAGTATGTTGGTGGCTAGTCGGACTGTCCCCACAGTTGATGAATTATTCTCTTGATTACTTTGCCTTGATGCAGAACCAAGTCACCCACTGATCTTATCACAGACACTTGACTCTTCTGTTTTCGCATCCGAGATAGTGGACAATCGGGCATCTCAAACTATGAAGAATAGCCGAGGAGGAAGTCGTTTTGGAAGATCTAGACTCAAGTGTTCTTATTGTCACAAACTTGGACACACTCGTGAAGTATGCTATTCTTTACATGGTCGACCATCCCAAAATGCTTACGTTGCTCAAACCGAGACTACAGGTAACCGGGGATTTTCTTTATCTAAAAAGCAATATAATGAGTTCATTCAGTATCAAGCAAGTAAGCAAACATCTCCACAAGTAGCCTCCGCTGCTCAGACTGATACTTCTGTTGCTGGTAATTCATTTGCTTGTGTTTCCCAGTCTAGTACTCTTGGACCATGAGTCATGGACTGAGGCGCTTCTTATCATATATGGGGTAATAAATCACTTTTGTTGAATAGTGTGTATTCATAGTCTCTTTCCACTGTTACTTTAGCCAATGGGTTTCAAACTAAAGCAAAAGGAGTTGGAAAAGCTAATCCCTATCTTATAGAAACTCTAGATTCCGTTCGTTATGTCCTTGGTTGTCCTTTTAGTCTTTCATCTGTTAGTCGTTTGACTCGCGCCCTTCATTGTGGTATATATTTTATTAATGATTCTTTTATTATGCAGGACCGCAATACGGGACAGACGATTGGCACAGGGCGTGAATCAGAAGGCCTTTACTACCTTAACTCACTCAATCCCTCCACATCATGTCTAGTTACAGGTTCTCCAGACCTAATTCACAGACGTTTACGACATCCGAGTTTATCCAAACTTCAGAGGATGGTGCCTAGTTTGTCTACATTAGATTGTGAGTCGTGTCAGCTTGGGAAACATATTCGAGCCTCCTTTCCGCGTAGTGTTGAGAGTCATGCAGAGTTTGTTTTCTCTTTAGTTCATTCTGATATATGGGGTCTTAGTAGAGTCGGTTCAACCTTGGAATTTCGTTATTTTGTTAGTTTAATTGATGATTATTCAAGATGTACTTGGATTTTCTTAATGAAGATCGTTCTAAGTTATTTTCTATATTCCAGAATTTTTATGCTGAAATCAAAAATTAATTTGGTGTTTCTATTCGTACTTTTCGCAGTGATAATGCCTTAGAATATTTATCCTCTCAGTTTCAGCAGTTTATGACTTCTCAAGAATTTATTCATGAGACATCTTGTCCTTATACCCTTCAACAAAATGGGGTTGCTGAGAGAAATAATAGGCACCTTATTGAGACTGCTCACACATTTCTAATTGAATCTCGCGTTCTGTTGCGTGTTTGGGGCGATGCAGTTCTCACAACTTGTTATTTGATTAATCAAATGCATTCATCTCACATCAAGAATGAGATTTCGTATTCAGTATTGTTTCCTCAGTTACCCTTATACTCTCTTCCCCCTCGTGTTTTTGGAAGCACATATTTTATTCATAACATAGCCACTGGGAAAGATAAGTTAGCTTCTCGTGCTCTCAAGTGTGTCTTCCTTGGTTATTCTCGTGTTCAGAAGGGATATCATTGTTACTCACCCGATTTTCGTAGGTACCTTATATCATCTAACGTCACATTTTTTGAGTCTAAATCTTTCTTTACCTCTTCTAACCACCTTGATATATCTGAGGTCTTACCTATACCGACCTTTGAGGAGTTTACTATAGCTCCTCTTCCACCTTCAACCATAGAAGTCTTACCTATACCAACCGTTGAGGAGTCTAGTGTTGCTCTTCCTAGATCCCTATCCACAGGAATACCACTCTTGACTTATCATCGTCGTCTGCGTCCAGCATCAAGCCTAGCCGATTCAAGTCCTGCACCTGACCCTGCTCCTACTGCGGACTTGTCTCCTAGTACATCGATTGCACTTCGGAAAGGGATACAGACCACACTTAATCCTAATCCCCACTATGTCAGTTTAATTTATCATCGTCTGTCATCATCCCATTATGCTTTTATATCTTCTTTGTCCTCTGTTTTCATCCCTAAGTCTACAGGTGAAGCATTGTCTCATCCAGGATGGCGACAGACTATGATTGACGAGATGTCTGCTTTACATACGAGTGGTACTTCGGAGCTTGTTCCTCTTCTTTCATATAAATCTACTGTTGGTTGTCGTTTAGTTTATGCAGTCAAGGTTGGTCCAGATGGTAAGGTTGATCGACTTAAGGACCGTCTTGTTGCCAAGGGATATACTCAGATATTTGGGCTCGATTATAGTGATACCTTCTCTCTCGTGGCTAATATGGCATCAATCCACCTTTTTCTATCCATGGCTGATGTTTGCCATTGGCCTCTCTATCAGCTGGACATTAAGAATGCTTTTCTACACGGTGACCTTGATGATGACATTTATATGGAGCAACCACCTGGGTTTGTTGCTCAAAGGGAGTCTCGTAGCCTTGTATGTCGCTTGTGTCGGTCACTTTATGGTCTAAAGCAGTCTTCTCGAGCCTGGTTTAGTAAGTTCGGCACAGTTATCCAGGAGTTTGGCATGACTCGTAGTGAAGCTGTTCACTCTGTGTTTTATCGGCATTCTCCTTCAAGTCTCTGTATTTATTTTGTGGTCTATATTGACGATATTGTTATTACCGACAATGATCAGGATGGTATTACTAAATTGAAGCAACATCTCTTTCAACACTTTCACACTAAGGATCTGGGCAGACTAAACATTTTTTTTCTGGGTATTGAGGTCGCTCAGTCTATCTTAGGTATTGTGATCCCACATCGGAAGTATGCCTTAGACATTCTTGAGAAGACAGGAATGACAGTTTGTAGACCTATTGGCACTCCGATAAATCCGTATTCTAAACTTCTGCCAGGACAGGGGAACCGCTTATCGATCCTGCGAGATATAGGAGGTTGGTTGGTAAATTAAATTATCTCACAATGACTAGACCTGTCATTTTCGTTCCTGTGAGCGTTGTAAGTCAGTTTATGAATTTTTCGCGTGATAGTCATTGGGATGCAGTTGTCCGCATTCTTCGGTATATAAAATTGGCTCCAGGCAAAGGGTTATTGTTTGAGGATCGAGGCGATGATCAGATCGTTGGATACTCGGATGCTGATTGGGCAGAATCACCTTCCAATAGACGTTCTACGTCTGGATATTGTGTTATAGTAGGAGGCAATTTGGTGTCTTGGAAGAGCAAGAAACAGAATGTAGTTGCTCGATCTAGTGCAGAAGCAGAATATCGAGCAATGGCTATGGCAACATGTGAACTAATTTGGATTAAACAATTGCTCAAGGAGTTAAAATTTGGTGAAATCATCATATGAAACTTGTGTGCGATAATCAAGTATGCCCTTCATATTGCATCAAATCTGGTGTTCTATGAGAGGACTAAACACATTGAGATCGATTGTCACTTCGTTAGAGAAAAGATACTCTCAGGATATATTGCTACAAAATTTGTGAAGTCGAATGATCAGTTTGCTGATATTTTCATCAAGTCCCTCACTGGTCCTCGTATTAGCCGCCTTGAGGGAGAGTATTAGTTTGATAGTTAAATAGTTATATGTAAATAACCCTAATCTCATATGTAGTAGGAGTAGAACATGTATTATATATATATATATATATATTGTATCATTGTCAATACATCAATAATATAATTTTTCGAGTTACTAATTCTCGCACCTATTAAGACTTTCTTCTTTTTTGGACAACCAAGAAACCCGTGAGGGCCAATGGCACACTGTTTGAAACCCGGTGGATAATTGGCCTGTCCCTCTACGAGGTTCTACAACTGTAGGTCCCAGTTGCCATTCTCCCATTACTCAAGTCGTCCAAGGGACAAGACCCTCGCACAGTAAAAAGTGTCTTTTTTATACAACTCATGATATATTGTTTTAATCTTTCTTAATGCAATTGAGGCTGCAAATATAGAAATCATGTTAGGAATAGCTAAAATTCATATTAATATATTGTTAGTTTTATGGTAATATATAAAGCCTCAACTCTTGTTAATAGCTTCCATAGTCTCTCTTCAATACCTAAATCCATGCCTATCCACTTTTTCCCAGCACAAACCACAACAATATTCTAGGGCAGAATCTTATTTTCAGATTTTACTTCACAAAATTCTGAATAATGACAATTGACAAATGAGAAAATGTTGTAGAAAACATATAGACAAGCATTTACTATGCCACCATTTTCAGTAACATTTTCGCTTAGTAACATCGCTTTGATAGTAAAGTAAAATGTAATTATATCACTTCACTTTCTCCAAATATTATATAAATGTTACTATTTCCGATTCATAATAAGTGATTTTTTTGTGTTTGACACACCCCTTAAGAAAATACTAACTCCTAGAGTGGAAAATAATATTTTGACTAAATTATCCTTAATTAAAATCTACATATTGTTAGCATAACACATTGGGATATGTAAATAAAGGCAAATTTTGGAAAAATAAAGTTTATTCCTTCTTGATTATGTAAAGGACACTTTTTTTTTAAAACCTCTCCCAAATTAGGAGGATCTATAGTGTTTCCACACTTCCCCTCCAGCGTGACTCGGACCCAGGACCTAACGGTCGTAGGTAGAGGTACTTTTACCAACTGAGCAAGTCTCACTTGTCATGTAAAGGACACTTATTTTGGATCAAAATAAAGAGGCCAAAAAGTCACTTATTATCGACCGGAGGGAGTAGCGTTTTCAGTTTTGTAGTCCAAACCTAGTACAGTACTCCCTCTAGTCCATAATAAGTGACATTTTGGCCTTTGGCACACCCTTTAAAGCTCCCCTTTTTGAATACCCCCTCAATCCCTCCGGAGTGAGTTCTTTTTTGCGGGATTTAGGGATTTCTGTCTTTTGCTCATATTGTCTCCTATGGAGATGGATTGATATGAGTCTTTCTACTTCTTACCTATTCACTTCTACTTGAACCGTTCGACGAGCGTTGTAACAATCCAAAGGAAAATCTTCGAGCTCAGCACGAGTCAACTTGTGAGGTGTCACATACCCTGCAGACAACAACCGCAGCAGTTACCAGTTTGGTCTCCTACCCCACAAAGAAAATACTAACTCCTAAAAAAATAAGTATTTTAACTACATTACCCTTAATTAAAATTTGCATATTGTTAAATTGACACAATAGATATGTAAATAATGCCAAATTTTGGAAAAACAAAGTCAACTCCTTCTTCATTAGGCAAAAGGTCACTTATTTTGGACCAAAATAATAAAGTAAAAAAGTCACTTATTATGGACCGAAGAGAATATAATTTTATTGACGATTGAACACATTTGCTCCTTATGCTTTAATTTTATCTGTTTGTGTAACTAGACTTTTCATAAATATATGGGTTCATGAATATATTCGTGAATATAAATAAATTTGGACATTTCAAGAAATTGGTTGGATGATAGACTCTTATATAATATTGGGAAGATCTTAGTGAAGAAGTCGAGACCTAGCAAAAGAAGTAAACATGAATGTCGTGAAAGACTGAGATGAGAAAGAAAACAAAACATTAGCTTTTCATGTGTTGCCTTCAAAATCTACAAGCACTTAAAAAAGTTAGATGAGTAGAATATCTTCATCTTTAACCAAAGATCATTTCAAGTCCATTGAATAGAGAACCTTTGCATAAGAGAATTTTACGACCTTAGTGAGCCTGCTCGATGCAAATCCATATTAGTAGGACCAGTGACGAATGGTTCAACCAAAAACAACCATCACTAGATAAACGAATGAAATACATTAAAAAATAAATGAATCTCAAGAGGAATAACAAAGTAATGTATTAGAGAAAGCTTGGGGATGAACAAATAGACGAGGCAAACAAATGTTAAATCCGAGTGAAAATTTGTCAAAACATAACAGCGGATCAAGCACGAAATTACTCCTCTCATTTCAATAGTTTCAACCTATAAACACCTCCATAGCAATACGTAACCAACGTGAGTGCAAAGTTTCAAAATCTGATCTTTTCATGAATATTTTCTTCACAAACCAAAAAGAAAGAAAAGTAGCTTTTCCATCAAACAAGTAAATGAATTCCCAACTTCTCAAGCACCTGTGCACAAAAAAAGACGAGAATCGACCAAGAACTTTCAAGTGGAACTTGGAGGTTAGATGGTAAATTTAGCTGTTTTTAAGTCTTTATTTTGTATTTCTTTCCATTTGTTTTGTTTTCGTTCTCACCTCAAAGGCTCAAACAGGCCTAGTAGCATCCGAAGTTCGACCAAGCAAACCATATATCTCTTATGCATTTGATTACCACACTCCTAGGCAAGTTCTGGACCACTTGGTATTAGATCATAGCCGTCATGGTGCTTAGAAGTCTCCTTTTCGACAGGGATCAACTTCAAAATAACAGCAATGATCAAGCTTGCAGCACCAATCAAGACACTGATCAGCCATAGTTGCCAGCTTAGTGGTGTAGTGCTGGCAAAAGTGCCTAAGAACTCGACGATGATAACTTGGAAAACAACTGTAGCAAACATGACTCCTAAGAAAATCCAGCTGCTAAAAATGCCACGGAAAATGTTTATCTTCTGCATATCACGACTGTTTATTTCGTTGAACACCTGTACGGAACCAATCAAGAGTCAGCTGGTTAGTGAAGGTCCTTCAGTATGAGAATGCAAATCTACTTTTCAACAGAATTTGGTATCTTCTATATCGGGTTTTCGTTATACTAGTACAGAGCACTAAAGAATGAACTGAAAAGGACTGCTACTGGTATATAGATACAGTGCTCAAGATAAAAGCTGGCTTGATAGGATAAATAACTGGATATAAAATACATACCTGACAAAACACAAAGGTGTTAAAAATGAAGGTATTCTGGATTTTTGTAGCATCTGAACCTTCAAGTTTCAAAATCTGCTTTCCGGCAAAGTTGAAGGTTAAGAGTATAGCCAGCTGGTAGATACTGTGTCCTATTATGTTTCTCCACATTGTCTTTGTAATGAAACTCACATCCCTTCCAACAGGAGGCCGACTCATTAGTCCTTCATGGGGCGGTTCAGTGGCCAGTGCCAATGCACCTAAAGTATCCATGATAAGGTTGACCCAAAGCAGCTGAACAGCAGTGAGAGGAGCAGATCCTGAAAGTTGTTGCAGCAGATAAGTATTCAGATACTATTTCTTTTTCATTCTGTCCCATAAAGAATGATACATTTTTATATTTACAAACAATTTAACTTTAAGCTTCCCATTTTACTTTATAACCACACAAATAACAATGACTTTTTTCAGACCATAAGTTTAAAAAATCTTTCTTTATTTCTAAAATTTCGTGTCCAATCTCTCTCTCCCTCCCTCCCTCTTTCTCTCTCTGAGAGTGAGTTTTGATTCTTTAATACACAGATCGCAAGAAAATAAATTGAATGAACTCAATCAAAGCAATGAATACCTGAGGCGCATGCAGAAATAAAATTGATCATCAGAGCCACAACATTGACAGTCAACTGGAATTGCACGAATTTTTGAATGTTTATATATACAGAACGGCCCCATTTAGCCACATTCACAATTGTCCTGAAGTTGTCATCAAGCACTATAATATCAGCACTTTCTTTTGCAACCTGATAATGTCATTTTGAAAAAAGTGAAGATCAGAAACAGCTTTAAAATTTCAATATCTACCAAGTACTAAATACTAATCTAGGTAAGATCTAACAAACAACCATAATAAACTACTTGAATCGTTCATGCTGGAGCTGAATGGATATTAATATTACAGACATGTGACATTTTTTCAGGAGAAACAAAAATGCATACGGGCGGTTTGTAGAATTTCCCTAGAAAAAATCACACATACAGGAAAAAACAAGTTCTACTTATATGTTGGAAGTTATGAGTTCTAGGTGATCAATTAAATGCTTAAGCATACTATGTTGCAGAGATGATATTGAAAAGAAAGATGAAAAGGAATACTCAAGCAGGCAACTTCAAGCATCGATGAAATAGTTAATGAATTATAGATATTTAAAGTATACAATATAAAGAAGACTGCAATTGCTAAGAGAATTTAGGCATGCTTATGCCCCATAAATGAGAAGTGAAGGCAAAAACCTTCAAACTGGAGCATGCAACTGGAAAATGGTATATATGACCGTATCAACCCAGAGCAGGAGCATATTTACAAACCTCTGTTCCTGCTATACCCATGGCCAGTCCAATATCTGACTCATGCAGAGCAGGGGCATCATTTGTGCCATCACCAGTAACTGCGACAACTTCTCTAAACATGCCTCTTAAATTCTTTACCAGCACATGCTTGTCTGTAGGGGATGATCGAGCCATAACCTGCATACAATATATAAAGAACATTTTCAGCAAACTGTATTCAAAGACGAGGATGTTCAAGGATAAAATAAAGCAATGAAAAGCACACCTGAATTCTAGGAAGTATTTGCCTCATTTCATCAGGACTTTTGTTGCGAAATTCTGGGCCTTCAATGGCCAAACCATCAGCAGTTAGTATACCACATTCTTTAGCAATAGCTATGGCCGTATTAATATTGTCCCCTGTGACCATCCTTACAGTAATTCCAGCAGCTAAACAAGTTTTAACTGCCTCTTTAACCCCAGGGAGAACTGGATCTTTGATTCCAACTACTGCAACCAATGTGTAGCCATTATCGGGGATATTATTTTCTTGATAACCATCTTCGATATCCTTGAAAGCCAAGCAAAGAGTACGCAAGGCGCCATCAGCAAATTCCTTAATGACACCCATGATGTTTGTAACATGTTCTTCTGACATATCAACAATTTCACCATTGGAATCAATAAACCTGTCACACATTTTCAAAACTATCTCAGATGCACCCTTGCAGAAAGCACGGGTATTGCCATCAGGAAGAGCAACAAGCACTGACATTCTTTTCTTTGCTGAATTGAACGGTTCAACCTTCAGCATATTACAATCCCTTTTTTTATCATCAATATCACCAAGAAGTAATCCGTATTCTAATATTGCAGATTCTGTGGGTGTACCCAGAACATATTTCTTTCCATCCTTGTCTTTAACCACCTCAGCTCCTGTATTATGAAATATTGCCTGCAAAAGAAAGTCCAGTGCACTTTCTGATATATCCGTTATTGCATCTCCACCTGCACCATTTTCTACCTTTTTAGCCTTTCCGCAAATCCATATTTTATTTACTACCATATGGTTTGTTGTTAGTGTTCCTGTCTTATCCGTGCAGATGCAAGATGCTGAACCCATTGTCTCACAAGCAGAAAGATGCCTCACTAATGCTTTATTATCCATTAACTTTTTCATTGCAAATGCAAGGCTCAATGTGACAGCCAGAGGTAGTCCTTCAGGAACTGCAACAACGATTATAGTTACAGCGGTGGCAAAGTAATTTAGAAGAGTTAATGCATCACTGGAAGACCATTTGGTGAATTGATGGTGAGTAGCTTTATCCACCATAAATCTGACTATTAACACAAGAAATGTCACCACAGCAAATCCCAGCCCTATCTTTCCAATAATAGTGGCAACACCATTCAGCTTAACTTGTAGAGGAGTCTCATCTTCTCCTCCCTCGCTAAGAGTTTCCATAAGCTTACCCCATTCAGTTCTCATACCAACAGTGGTCACTAGCATCTTAGCTGAACCATCTTGTACTTTGGTTCCTGATAGAAGAAAGGGTCTTTTTTCATATATGCTTACTGGTACACTCTCACCAGACAAACTCGATTGATCAATTAGCAAGCTATATCCTGATATGAATATTCCATCAGCCGGAACAAGATCTCCAATAGATAAGTGAACTACATCACCAACCACCAAGTCATAAATGGAAACCTTCTGCCTTGATCCATCTCTTGTGACCTGGATGGATATCTTTTTCTTCTCCTTATCCAAATCCCTGAACTGCAACGACTGCCTATAGTCACTAACTGCAGTAACAAAGACTACCAAGAATATGCTGAGTAGAATTCCTAAACCATCATATGTTCCTTTTGGCCACCCTTCAGTAGCAAGTCCGACACCAATGGAAACAACAGCACAAACTATCAGGATGACGAGAGTTAAATCATGCAGAGCCTCCCACACAAATGTCCAAAAACTTCTAAAAGGTTTCTCGGTGAATTCGTTTGATCCATATATATTTTGTCTTACAGGTACATCACTAGATTTGACTCCTTCGTTTGATGTGACTCTCAATTTACCTGCAAGCCCTTCAACACCTCCAAGTTTCTTTAAGGTTTTTATATCATAGGAACCAACTATAGATGCAAGTTTATCAGGGTTAATTCCAAAACCAGCATCTCGAGCTTCTTCTGGCAAGTCTTTTGCCAGTTCAGCCCCTATATCTTCTCTGACCTGGTCAGAAGGCCTACCATGATCACCAGCTGTAAAAGAATAGAAATGAAATGAGAAAAAGCAGAAAGAAACTTGCGGAGCTACTTGTTTTAATGAGTTAAAAAATAAACTCAAGATCTGAGCAAATTGTACCATCAATGAACTTGAGTGCTGCCATATAAGCCATGAAACCAACTCGAATCTTTTCCTGGAAATTGCATGTGGTAAAAAAATGTAGCTTGCTCAGTATACAAGATTAGAGAAGTTATATCAGTCACCAACACAGTCCTCCATAGCATGGTTAACAAAATCAATTACCAAACCCACGCTTTCCAGTTATATCATTAGTTCCATGATGAGACGAAATAGTTTTGTCACAAGATTGCTCTGATTAGGGAACTCAACTATAGTATTTGAACAGTAAAATGATTCAGGTTCTGAGCGAAATGATTCAAGAGTTTTGTCACAAGTTGCTCTGATTAGGGAACTCAACTATAGTATTTGAACAGCAAAATGATTCGGGTTCTCAGTAAAATGATACAACGATCATTCTTAGTGTCATAGGATATGGATGATGCCAAGAATCAACTGCTTCTATTTAACAAAAGTAGTGTTTTCCACATGACCATTGTATAATTTTTTCAATATCAAGTGACAACTAGACATTAACACAATATAACACTTTATGACTAGATACTAATGCCTTTTGAAGTGACAGATCAAAAGGATAAACTTCAAAATAACTATAGCAGGCTGATTGTCGAAGAATTGCATATAACAAGGTCATATACCTTTTGAGTTGCCGATTCGAAATTTAATATTTGAACATGTTTAGTAGATTTCTTAACACATATATAAGGTTTGAGTCAAAACTATTAGTTCAGCCGAACCCGTAGCTTCTATTCTGCATCCGCCCTGGATGAGGGAAGCAAAACAACATCGTTCAGTGAGCACTGTCTCAGGGATCCGGCAGTTGCCAGCATAGGAGTATCTCAAAAAACTGAAGCAGCAAGTTACATGGAATAAACCAGCAATACAGGCAAATCTCGTTTTTTTTCTCTTTCAAATCTTTGCATGTCAAGAGACCTTTTTTGCAGTGTTATGATAATTATGCCTTACAGTGATGATGGTACTTATTTGATTTTCCTTTGTTTGTAGAGATGTCTCAACCCTGTTATTTTTTTTCAAGTTTTCTGTCTTCTTGCAGCTTGCACGATGGCATAGTAGCTTTGAATGCAATAGTTTTGTATAATTTACACAAAAAGGAATAAATGTTACTAATAGATATAACATGTAGTTTGTTGAGCATTTTGTTCAAAGCATAAAGCATTCACATGTCAGCTACTGTGTATTTTTTTGTACGTGACTGTCCATGTCTTAACCTACTATTAGTTTCCTGTTTCTCTTCTCTTATGTATATTTTATGACGCAGGTGTTCGGATCAGCTTCCACACAACTCGGCTATCTTACCGATACTTGGTGCCTTCCACAAGTACGGATAACTTCACCCACCAAAACTTAGACAGATGAAAGCCAATCACCTAGTGATTTTTATCTCCGTTGAGATTTGAACCTCAGCTCCTCCCACCTTAATGGATACCTTTTTCCTGAGACATTTACCCATATACTTTCGAAAATTATCTAAGAATACCTATCGTTATACTATTGGGCTATATATACCCCTACAGTCATACTTTGGGTTCAAATATACCCCTCAGTTAAACGTAGGGACACGTGTCGTCGTCTTATTGGCCAATTCTAAATATCTCCTAATTAATTAAAAATACCCATTATCCATACCCGAAAAACAATTTTATAAAGCAATTTGTTTTTTTCTAAATGTTTTTCTAAAAAGTGAAAAAATATATTTTCGATATTTTCAGTTTTTAGTAAAAAAAAAAAAAATCAGTTTTTTCCCGTTTTTAATTGCTTTAGAAAATTATTTCAGTTTTTACAAAAAAATTATTTTAGAAATTTTTTTTCAGTTTTTTTTAAAGCAGATTTTTTGTAAAAAATGAAAAAAAATATTTTCGTTTTTTTAGTTTTTAGTAAAAAAAAAAAAAAAAAAACAGTTTTTTCCAGTTTTTACAAAAAAAAAATTGCTTTATAAAATTATTTTTCGGGTATGAATAATGAATATTTTAAATTAATTAGTAGATATTTAGAATTGGCCAATAAGACGATGACACGTGTCCCTCCGTTTAAATGAGAGTTATATTTGAACCCAAAGTATGACTGCAGGGGTATATATAGCCCAATAGTATAACGAGGAGTATTCTTAGATAATTTTCGAAAGTACAAGAATATATTTGGACCTTCTCTGTTTATTTAATAAAATAAACCCAAAAACTTTTCTAGCTATCATGTAATTAGATGGTCGAGAAGTAAAATAGTCCAGACAAGGAATATGGGATGTTATACGTCAAAGAATACAATTTACAGTCACAGAATACCAATTGATTATGTTTTTTTAATCAAAAAACAATTACAGTCACAGACAACAAGAATATAACAGAAGTGGGAATTGTTTATTAAGAGAAATACTAGAAGTGGGAATTGATGTTCCATGTGGCAACCGAAGGTTAGGCAAACAAACGAAACATTTCTTGGTGGGACAAACAAAAAACTGCAGATGGGGCCAGACTGCCGACAAAAAGTCAAAAACTCAGAAGATATTTTTCTTCGGGTCACCCATCTCCCTCTGTACCTCTATGTACTATCCAATGTCAATGTCACAAGGAAGTTTCAAGGAAATTTCGCTGCTGACTACGTGTTTATTAGCTAGATTTTGGCCCTTTTGGCACTACATTAACAACCATATATTCCGTACTGTTTTCCTAATTTCTAAAATCCTAAAACCCATTATTCAGAACCCAAAACATCACTCAAAGGTTCTTTAAGTCCAAGAGAAAGCTCCTTATAATACAATTTAAGCATGTGCTTGTGCACATAAAAACAAACTTCTTTTGAACTCTATCAGAGATGAGGTATGGTCTGTTATCTCCATGCAAATTGATGCCTGGAAAGAGCAATTTGCACTGCCACTCCTATGATGCTAGAAGAAATGTCAATATCAGAAGGAATTTTCAAGGAAATTTCGCTGCTGACCAAATGTTTAGTAGCTAGACTTTTGACTTTTTTGGCACTACCTTAACTACATCACATTTGATGTTGTCCCAAAAAGAATAATACTTTTATTATATAGAAATAATTTAACTATAAACTTATTATTTTTTATCCTTAATGAGATGACTTATCACCACGTAAAATTATTATAACTTGTTTTAGATCACATATTTAAAAAAACTTTTTTTCCTTTCTTAAACTCATACCAAGCTAAATTTCATATAAAATGGGATGAAGGGAGTAATAAGCATGTGGTAGTGCACATAAGAACAAACTTCTTTGTACTCATCTACTCAGCAGATGAGCTCCACTGCTCTTCCAGAGATGAGATATGGATTGCTTTCTCCATGCAAATTGAAGTCTACAGAGAGGAAAAGAGCACTTTGTGCGGCAACTACTGCAGTCTTGTGAAGTCCAATTTTGAAAGTTGAAATTACCGTACTCACCATACAATTAACAGTGGCTTTGTGTTTCTTCAGAAATGGAGCAGACCATAAGTTTGATTATGAAGGCAGCTAAAAGATCTCAAATTCTTATAACGTTTTAGGCACAGAATTAACACAACCATTTGTAAGTACGTAAGAATTATTCAAGCTAATTTAATGACAATGACGTTATTGACGTTAGGCAATGCTTGACCACACACTTTAATGGGGAAAGAAAGCATGTGTCCTAAAGGCAAAACAATCTAGGTAAATATGAAAAAAAAAAAACCTCCCCACACACACACACCCAATAAATACCCGGCTTCATTGGTTACTTTTTATTCATTAAAAAATTAAAAACATTATTTGTTCATGAAATTTGATCAGTTTATAAAAAAAATTAAGTTACAAAAAAGTTTTTTGGTGAATATTTTTCTTCAACTCACAAAACTTCAATATTTTTTCAAGTAAAATGAATGTTCAAACACAACTTCAAGTTTCAAAAATTATTTTTCAATACAAGTTCAAAAACTTTTTTTTTAAGTGTTAATCAAATCTATATCCAAACGATAGCATAAATTCCTCAAAGTTTTGTCACTTAAATTAAGCTACAAGGCAAATATGGAAGAACCCTTGTTATCCTAAACAGAACATATTATGCATGCAAGTTACCTAAACCCAAACCCAAACCCAAAAAGGGGGCCCAATAAAAAAAGAAATAAGTTCATCTATCTCTTCACTGAACTACCGTCCCCATAAATCACCAATGCATTATCCAATTGTTAGGCAGCCCACAACACCAAAACAGTACCTAAACTGGTAGATATGGATAATTATAATAACGTAAGGCTACGGTCAGTTATTTTACCTGTAGAGTCTAGACCACAAATGACTAGGCCTCACTCCTCATTTTCCTCCAAAAGTCATTGCATTTAGTAGTTGCAGCAGGAAATTAATCCCCATTAATAAAGCACTTATTACTTACTAGTTTGTCAATAAAAGATTACTCCATTCATCCACTTTTACTTGTCTACTATATCAAAAAATAAATTTTCACTTTTACTTATTTATTTTAACAAATCAAGAGAGAGATAATTTTTTAAATCTTGTTTTATCCTTATCATTAATTACTCATTTTCAAAATTATTTCCTAAGACCTTTTAATATGCTATAATTTTAAGGGGTTATATGGTAAAATACATACTACAATTATTATTTTTTAAAGGAGGTGAAAAAACTAAAGTTGATAAGTAAAAGTGAACAGAGGAAGTACTAAATATGGTGTTTGACTTACTGACCAACGAATAGTTCTATCATAAAGCTAGAATATATTTATAATAAATCATTAATTAATCGGAAAATTTAAAATTTGTTATTGTTGTTGTTGCATTAATTAAGAAAATTAAACATAAGGAGTACTAAATATGATGTTTGACTTACTGACAAGTAAAAGTGAAAAGAGGAAGTACTAAAAATAGTGTTTAACTTACTGACCAACGAATAGTTCTATCATAAAGCTAGAATATATTTATAATAAATCATTAATTAATCGGAAAATTTAAAATTTGTTATTGTTGTTGTTGCATTAATTAAGAAAATTAAACATAAGGAGTACTAAATATGATGTTTGACTTACTGACAAGTAAAAGTGAAAAGAGGAAGTACTAAAAATAGTGTTTAACTTACTGACCAACGAATAGTTCTATCATAAAGCTAGAATATATTTATAATAAATCATTAATTAATGGAAAATTTAAAATTTGTTGGTGTTGTTGTTGCATTAATTAAGAAATTAAACATAAAGTAATTCATTTGTCTAACCAGATCTGGTTTCTCACTGACACAAATGTTTTCTATAAAATTCTCATATTTATTTTTGTATTTATCATTCATTAAATTGTTTGTAGATTTTTAATAGATATAATTTTTAAGAAATAGTAATAAATAATATTAGGAAAAGTTTACATCTTTCAGTCTTCCTTCGTGAAAGATCCAAGTTTTTGTCTCTATTTATTTGAACAACATGGTCTTCCATATTAAAAGTAGTAATAATTACTTGCAAGTGGAAGATAGTCCAGCGAAGAATCAAAAAAAAGAAAAAGGACCAAGAATTTTTCTAACTTATCGCATCCCAAAAGTCAAACAAGAATATGTCATTGTAGAAAAAGGAAATACAATATAAGAATCAAAAGGGAAAGTGCTGAAGCACTACTGATGGCGGATATCATATTGTCTTTTACCATATATACACTCTCATTTTATATATTGTTGAAAAAACGAACTTTTTGACAAATTAAGTTTATGTGATGATCGGATAGAAAATTTTTACACAATCACATTACTTAATAGATAATTACAAGTAAATTTATTTAATAAAACTTAAAATAAATATTGTATTAAGTAACTTAATATAATAGGTATAAAAATTTCATAATGTAATCAGATTGTATATAACGATAAATCCAAAAAAAATTACGGATCTGTGATAAATTTTCTGTGGTTGAAAATATTGTAAAATATTTTGGACATGAAAAGGATGAGATTTACATAGCAGGAGAAATGTTAACATTTCCATAACAATTTTCGGTGTTTTCCATCAATGTACATGTATTTTAGCACAAGGTACCGTTATTATGGAGTATTACTCATTTTCATGTATTAATGTTCTAGCTAGAATATCTGATCGTCTATTTAGACGTAAACAACCAAAGAAAAATTCAAAAGGAAACGAGATTTCAAAGCCGAAAGATCTTCGCCGATCCAAAAAACAATTAGTAGAAAGTTTCAAAAAAGGTAAATCTTCTACACATATCATAATTGAGCTCGTTTTCCGGCTTATTTCTCGGAAAACAAAAACAAAAAGAGATGATCTATCTCCATCTGTACCAATGAAATGTACAACTATTCAGGCATATTGTACCAAACTGATAGAGAAGTTATAAGAAATTCACCATTAGCAGCAGAGGATCTAAAGTATTCATAAAATTTTCCGATGTTATTACCAGTAATATAAAGGTATTTCGCTATTAAATATCAAAAAAATTTATCTCGATTTCGGATTTCAAAATCAGTTCTATTAAGTTTTTCAAAAAGTATAAAAAGTTTCTCCAGTTATCATACCCAAACTCGAACTCGAACTCATTTTCCGATTTATATTCTCTTCAAAATAAAATATACAAGTATCAAAGCACATTGTACCGCACTTGTGGAGCATCATATTCCAAGGATTCACAGTTACAGGATTTCCAGAGAATTTTCAATGTTCTTTGATTAAAGTACCAAACATATTAAGTATGTATTTCCTGTTCTAACAACAATCTCAAATCATCCATTAAGCAGTAAAAAAACAACAAACGAGATTTCAAAATCGAAAAGAAAAAAAAATCTCGTTTAGAAAAAAAAAAACTTAAAAGTATATCGAAAACGTACTAAATCTTCTTCACAGTACTCGAAGTTTTCCTGCGACTTATTTTCAGAATATTTTCACGGAAAGCATGAAAACGAAAAAAGGAGGTGAAAACATACTCTGGTTTTCTCCATAAGCTCTTTAGCTTCTTCACGTTTTTCGAGATTCGGAGCATATCGGAACCGACGCCGGCGATTCTTAACGAGAGAAACAGCATCTCTCCACCTCCTCTGAGCTGCTTCCGACGGATATTTCGCCGGCAAATCAAACGCTTCCGGCTCCAACAGCGACATCGCGAATGTTTATATAACCGTAGATTCGTAGATCAAATGGATACGTAAATAGGTATATATATATATATATATATATATATTATATATATACGGTAAGAGAAAAATGTTAGCCGGAAATTTTATAAAAAGAGCAGAAAAAAGGAAACTATTATTTTGGGGTTTTATTGGACGATTAATTTTAGAGAGAGACTAAAATTCTAACGGGGATTGGTTACGAGCTTTTTCTTTATTTTGTTTTCTATAAATAATAAATAGAAGACGCGTTGATTTGGGACAAATTTGTTAAAGTAGTCCCTTTAGTCTGGTTAGATTGCTAGTTTGACCCTACCTTTTTTTGACTTATCTCTAAAAGTCAAAACAGGAGATAGGACTATACACAAAAATTCTAGTTTTATAGAAATTTATGCTACTACTATATATTATGATTAGTATAGTTTAACTTGTGATCGTAGATAATTATCTTTTTATTCGATCATTAAATAATGTGTAATATAGAAATTTATATTTACTTATAAGTATTTTAAGTTCAAAATAAGTATTTAATGGAATTTAATGGAAAATTGAGTGGGACCTAAGAGAAGTTTTTCAATTGTACATGATTTATTTGGCTTCAAAAAAGTTAATAAAAGGACTAAATTACATGATAAAGTTTATGAGCTACGCCTTTTCTTTTTTTGATTTTCCTGTAATCGCATTGAAACCCGACTAAATTCGAATTTGTGCCGGGAAGTCTCACATTGGGGTAAAGCGTCCCCTAACAAAGACAACTTTATACACATGTCTCAAATGTGAAATCTCTAGTTGATGAAGGAGTATTTACCACTCTACCTCAACTATTATTGGTTTAGGAGCTACACCTTATCATAATATAACTTAGTTTCATGATAAAAATTATAATTTTTATGAAGATTAGATATATATCTTGTGATTGATATGATAATATATAAAAAAATCAGCTATTAGTGTATTCAAATCAAATTATTTTTGAAAAGGTAGGAGTGAGGAGCATGAAGAGCACTATGTCTAATTAAAATTAAAAAAAATTGTAAAGAAAGATTGAAATTTTAGGATCTGATGCTTTTGGTGTGATATTAAAGGGAAAAATATCAAGTGATACTTTTTTGGAAAGTTCCCATAATACTTTTTGCCTTTTTATGGAGAAGATCTCATTGGTTAATTGTATTTCTTTAAAGTGTTCTTAACTTTAAAAATAAAGAAATAAACCATCATTTATTTATTTAATTTCTCAAGCTTTTTTCATGTAAATCCCAGTTTTACTTTAGTTTGGTTAAAACTTAAAAGGGAAATAAAACTATAACTTGTTATAAGAAAAATTAAATTTTGGTGGATGTCTACTCTTCCTCCATGATCTTATCAAATGCTTAATGACATATTCAATGACATATTTCTATGTTTAATAACATATTTTTCTTCACTTTTCACGCATATATAAATGTCTTGTAATAGATAGAAAAATATACACAATTGAAGAAGAAATAAGAATTTCTCCTCTCTTTCTCTCTCTATCTCTTAGCTTGTTTTTCATTGTTCTATATTGTTACTTTGAGCTATATTTTATAACACGTTATCAACACGAAGTCTCTAACCTCAAGGTTGAATCCCACTTATGTGTTACATGCACGTCTTTCTGCTACAACAACAAGTCTGGACTTTAAACCAGATAAGTTTATAACAATATTTGGAATAGCTAGGCAATTGTCTCGTTATTAGAAAATTAGTATTTATGTGGCTGCTAAGGATGTCACCTTGTTAAATTTTCATGAACTAAATACTATGTGGCATGCGGTATACTAAATAATCTACAAAATTAAAATTATATTTTATTATGTATGCCTATGGTTTTACCTTATAATACTATTTTAGTATGCCTAGTATAATGATTATACATTAGTTTACTGTCAAATATAATAATATAATAATAATAATACTATTCGTAACTATTTTATTTTAATTGTCATGACCCAAATTCGCCTATAGGTCGTGATGGCGCCCAACACTACAGCTAGGCAAGCCAACTAATAAGTCAAACATGCATTTGTTAAACTTTTATTCCAAGAAGATAATAAAATACCAATTTCTACTAATGTGTGTGCCAAGACCCGGTGTCACAAGTGCATGAGCATCTAGTAGATTATACAAAACTCCAAATATTATCTGAAATAAAATAGACAGAATAGAAATATCGGAAGAGACTCTAGTAGCTGCAGAACGGCTCAGAAAGGCAGCTCACCACTATGCCTCGGGATGACGTGGGTATGTGATGATAGGTCCTCCACTAGTACCTGTCTCAGATCCTGCACAAAAAGTGCAGCAAGTGTAGTATGAGTACGTAAACAAC